TTCAACATCTATTTCAGTCTTATCTGACATCTAATGCAAAACACAGCAGCTCTGGTGTGGGAAGGCTAGCTGTGGGCTGCAGCAGTGTGCAGCTAGTCAAATCGCTCCACTCGCTCCATGGTGGATGCTTTCACGGAAGCTTTCCGATTAAGCACCAGACACGATCAGGTCATCTTTCAGCTCTTTTAAGTGTGGGCGCAAACGGAAGAAGCAAGCAGCTTTCGAACGCACTCAGGTGCAGGCGAGAAGAAAACCTAAGACAAAGGGCCGGCCGGGGACTAATTCCGCGCAGCCCCCTCGGTGTCCACCCACTTCCCATTGGGCAGAGGGCCGGCGGCAGCTCAGAAACAGCCTCTGGTTTTCCGCACGAGCACTCAGATGGCATGTTGGTGTCATCACCGCCCCGCACGACCCGTAGGCTCCCCAGCACTTAAACACACCGGCGGGGAGGCAGGCACGAAATAAAAAAAAGCCCCCAATACTGAAATCCTCCTGGCAGCCATTTGCTGACCTGTTTCCAGGTCTGCATCCCGGCTGAGGCCTGGGCACGGGTCCGCACACCGCTTCCACCCAGTTTTCCCGGCCGCGTGCCACTGGCCCAGCCATGCGACAGGTATAACCTCTCTTATCCTCCGATCCTCCGCCCCGCATCTCAGCTCGTACCTCGAGAGGCGGACAATATCATGTCCGGGAACTGGGGAGTGGTAGCGATCTGGGTCACCCATCCATTGTGGCCCTTGAGGGTGCCACGAAGTGTCATCTGCTCAGTCATGGCGGTGGCGGGTGTGGGTGTCGCCGCAGCGACGAGGATGGACCTGGATACTTCAGAGAGAGCAGGAGCACAACCACCACCGCCGCAGCCCTGCGAGGAAAGGAGAGAGCATCCCCCGCCGGAACCGGAAATACCCGCCCTCTTTCGCAAAATGGCGGCCCCCATGATTCAATTCCGCGCAAGATGGCGGCGCCACGTAGAGTATAGAGCGAGGTGAAATGACAACGCGCCATACAGTGTAATTTGGTAACGTGTATAAATATTCTGAAACCAAGACCACCATGTTTCAAAATGCTTCTCGAATGCTGATTGGGACGTGAAGTCTGAGAAGCCGGAAGAGGGACGTGCAGGCAGATCCCCGAGCACTGCCGGGACTTCCGGGTCCCTGCGCGCCGCGGCGCGAGCCGGTCTTCCGCGCGCCGCGCGGCCGCGCTAGAGGGTCTTAACATCCAGGGCGCGATTGTAACTGTGGCGTATTTTAATGTAAACGGTGCCCGAGACTAGTAAACCTAAAAGGTTTCCACGCGCAGTGGCGGCTTTTCCCTCAGGAGGTTTAAGTCCCCAGGGTTTTGGGTGAGACACGCCGTGTCCGGAAAGACTGAGGCAAGAACGAGTTCCCGAGCGGGAAGCCGGGGCGAGGAGAAGCCGGGGTGCGGGCTGCGGGCCGCTCACCAGCGCGGATGGCGGGGGCAGGCCCCGAGCGGGTCAGAGAGGACGGTCTCCGGGTCGGCGGGGACTCCGTCGAAAGCCGGCCCCGGGCCTACCACCTCCCGGAAAGGCCGGAGGGACATGCCCTGGACAGGTAAGCAGTTTGCTAGGACCCCTGGCTGCCTGCCTGCCGCCCTCCCTTTGGGCCGCTGAGCTTGCGGGTGCGCGTGCCTCCCACTGCTGCGCACCCCTGATACGAGAATGCTGGCAGCGCCCCTCAAATGCTTACTTTTTAAATCCTCACCTGAGGGTATGTTTATTGGTTTTTAGAGAGGAAGGGGGGGAGAGGGAGGAAAGGAGAGAGCGATCCATATCAAGGTTGCCTCCCTTTTCACGACCGACGGGGGGAGGGGGCCTGAGGGGCTGACCGGGAATTGAACTCAGCCTTTAGGTGAGTCGCCCGGCCAGGGCTCAAATGTTTTTTTTAAAGGGCGGGGCACAGATCAGGGTGATGGCAGTTATATTATAGGCAAAATAGAGAATTGTGCACAAGTACCTACTTTTCTGTGTATTGAATAAATGTAGTTTCAGGCCTGTGGAATGAGGTGGGAAGTTACAGTACCCACCTCACATGGTGGTGTGGAGAGTAAGTGAGCTAAGACAGGAAAAGCGGCCAGAAGAATGCCTGGCAGAGTAATGCACCCCTTACGTAGTGAGCACCTCTTGGGGACTAGGCCCTGTTTTAGGTCTTGGGGAGGCGGGACCCATTTTTGGGGGTTAGATGGAGCTGGGGGAAGGGATATTGTGGGCAGGGAGCAAAGACAAGGAGATGTGGGACACATCCCAGTGGATATAGGGAGAAATTAATGTTCCACTTGGAGGGAAGGTATATGGGAGGAAATGTGTCTGCTGGAAAGAGCTGGAATGTTGGAGAAGCTGAGACTGAAAATGTAGCGGTTGGGGGCCTCACAGCCTCAGGGAAGGACCTTGGCTGGGGAAGGAGGCAGAAGTTAGGTGAGGGGCAGTGACAAAGCCGCCATAGGCTGTGGCTGCTCAGGCTTGTGGAGAAGGGCCATGATCCCTCCCTTGAGAGCACCTGATCCTCTGGTGGCCTGCAGACTCTCCTCCTTCCTCAGGGCTCTGTCCTGATTGCACCTCCACAGCTTGATGATTCATCCAGGTAGCCACCTGCACTCCAACCTTTACCTTTTCTAACACTGTGCTACACCCCAACCCCCTGTCTTTAACCCCCCCCCCCCCCCCAGTATCAGCTCGCTGCTTATGACTGGTCAGGCCAGGGACTCCATCTGTCTGGGTGAGTAGATGCTCGCTGTGTAAGGGTTTCCCTGGCTGTTTGTCTTTATACGCAGAGGATTTCCTCTTTGCTCTTAAGAGCACTAGCTCCTCCACTTCCCAAAGACATCAATGGTCACATTATATTTTCCCACTTGAGAAAATTCATTTGGTTTTTGAATTTAGCCCAGAGAGCCCCAGTGGAATCAGCACCCCTGAGGTAGGGCCAGGAGCCCAGGTTTGAAATGAGTCTCCCAAGTCCCCCACTCATGCTCAAGGGTGGAACCTTTCTGCACCGCCAGGCCCCTTTCCAGAGGCAGGCAATTCTCAGGCTAGCCCCTCCTTCCTGCATCTTTCCCGCATTGTTTCCGAGAGCTAAACTGTGGCCACAATAGATGCCTTTCACCTCCCTCAGGTCTACGGGCCTCTTTCCGCATGGATCCCTCACTCTGTGAGATGGTTCTGGAAGTGTCCCCTCTGTGGGTCTCAGAGGGGTCTTTGGACTTTGCCCTGGAGCACACTGTCCAAGCTGGCGATGCCAGTGGAGAGAGAGAAATGGAGCAGAGTGGGCTTTGCAGACAACTAGAGCCTGAGGCATTTGGGCTTCCCACTTTGGTGTTTTCCTCCAACCACTGCCCAGCCTCTCCTCCCTTGGAGATGCAGGCCACAGTGCCTCTGAGGGACAATCTTGAGCCAAGGGAGGTGTCTCCCCAACCCTGGAGACCACTTTGGGTAAAGCTGAGTGGAGACATGGGTGGGACATCCTTTCCAACTCATACCTGGCTCTGTGGCTCACTGCTAGGTATATACAGGGCCCCCATCTGGCCCAGTTCAAGGGCTCGCCTGGACTCCTCACTCTCAATCAGGAGTCTGGATTCACTCTTTGTCCTCAGAGAGAGCCGAGAGATGAGCTCCTTCCATTGGGGGATGTCCCTCAGCTGTGTGCTGTATCTGAAAATCAGCTGTGCCTCCATTGAGTCCATCTCATCCAGAACATCTTTTCTCTCGCCTCTCAGAGGTGGAAGCCTGCTGGAGGACCTACCTGGCCTTTGGCCAACTGTATTCAGAGCCTCCTCCACCCCTCAACACTCTTTCAGCCAGACTCTTGGTCTGGGCTCAGCCCCACCAATCCACCTGGCAATTCAACTGGGTCTTCCCCACTTGTTAGAACCCCTGGACTTGCCCCTCTCATGACCCTGTAGGCAGTTTCTCCATTCCACACAAGGTTAGAATCCCAAGAGGAGATCAGAGGTTCTTCCAAGGAAATCTGTCCCAACTTTCATTTTCTGGAGGGAAGCCCACAAGACCTGCATAACTGGGAAGAGCCCCTTGGACTTCTTGCCAGAGGCCCGTGATTCCTTCTCCAAGGAGCAGAGACCTTCATTCCCTTTCTGCCAGCATGTTGCATTCCCAGCACAAGCTAAAGAGTTTGGCATGTGGAAGAGTCTAATCTTGGTGGCCATCCTCAGACTTAAAGGGCAAGTGACTAATGCAGGGGAGGATGTTCAGGAAACAGGATCTGCACAGGGAAGAGGCATACAGTGGAATGCATGCAAGCTTGGGAGAGATGGTTTCAAGAGAAAAGGGAGAAGAGAATGAAACCAGAGGTGGTGCTAAGGAAATTTGAATTTGTCCTGAAATCAAAGGACTTTTTTTTTTTTTTTTTTTTTTTTTAAGGATTCTCATCTCTCTCCTGCCTAGACTTGAGTTTGCTAAAAGGTATTGGTTGTCACAGTGTAGGCTAGGTTGAAGTAAGACCAGAAAGGAGTTCCAAAGCTGGACAGGAGAGTCTCTAGGAGGATCATGAGACCTATGAAGGGAGGGATTGATGACTTATCAAAGGCCTTGTGAGGAGTTGAATATCTCTTCCAATCCATCTCTCTTCCCCCTATGCTACCTTCACTCCAGAGTTTAGTATTGGAATATATATAAAAATTCTTTAATGACTAAGGCCTAAGAATTAGCTTTAAAAAATTGCTAACAAGGAAACAAGGGGGTATAATTATAGGTTCTGTCCATTCCTCCTAGTAAGAAGTGGGGATGTGGCATTCAATCAGTACTGGGAACAGTAATTACAAGAAATCACATGCCTTTTTTTTCCTCTTGATAAAGACTCGGTGTTCATCTTAGGCAGAAATCTGAGAACTAACAGTCCCGCAGGAAGCGGATCCTAACGCATTCTGTTGAGTCTTCCCTGGGAGAGGGACTGTGGGATCCCCTAGGCCTTGGGTGCTTTATCTGATGTGCAGAGTCAAAAGCTGTGGAAGTAGGCCTGGTCCAGGCAGGACTATACTATCTAATAAAAGAGTAATATGCAAATTAGACGTCACTCTGCTACAAAAAGGCGGCGCCCATAGCCACAAGATGGCGGTGCCCAGTGCTCTCAGCCCCGCCAGAGTCCCCCAGTCCAACCCCTCTGGGGTCCCACAGTCTGGTTGGGAGGCACTCGCGCCCCCACAAACCGATCGCACCACCAGCTGAGGCAGCACTGGGTGTGCGGCTGGGAGGCGGCCAGGCCCCACACACGGATCCCCGCCACCAGTGGTTGGGATGTGTGGCTGAGAGGTGCCTGGCGTGCCCAGCCAGGGATCATGCGCCCACTCGAGTAGCGGATCAAGCCTGGCTGCTCTGTGACCTCTGAAGTGTCCGGGGCTGAGCAGTGAGGCTGGATTGTTTGGGCCTATAGGCCTGGCCAGGGGCCCTGGGGACCAGGTGGACAGGTGGGATTCGCTTACTCCAGAGGCAGATCCAGCCTCACTGCTCCCAGCCTCTGGCATGTCTGAGCCTGTCAGCCCCTCCATGAGACTGGATGTTGTGTTTAGGGGACACACAAGTGGAGGGGGAGTTGACTCTTCTGGCACAGGGGGACTTGATGCTGGCCCAGACTCTGACAGCAGGGAGGAGGAAGTCCCACCCCCACAGAATCAGCCATTGGTCAGACAGCTCAGTGGTCTGACAGCTATCTGACAGCAGGGAGGAGGAAGTCCCACCCGTAGAGTTGACCATTGGTCAGACAGCTCCCTGCCACCTGACAGCCAGGACTCTTATTTCACCTGACAGCAAGGAGGTGGGACTATGTCTAAACATCTACTATTGATACAAGGTAGCCCTGCAGCTGAAAGAAGCCAGCAGGGAAAGGCAGTTAGGGGTGACCAGGCCGGCATAAGAGGGAAGTTGGGGACAAACAGGCTGGCAGGGGAGCAATTAAGACATCAATCAATCAGGCTGGCATGGGAGTGATTATGAAGTGGTCAGGCTGGTAGGCAGAAGCGATTAGGGGCAATCAGGAAGGCAGGCAGGTGAGCAGTTGGGAGCCAGCAGTCCTGGATTGTGAGAGGGATGTCCGACTGCTGGTTTAGGCCTGATCAACTGGGATCGGGTCTAAACGGGACATCCCTCTAGGGGTCCAGATTGGAGAGGATGCAAGGTGGGCTGAGGGGACTCCCCCCCCCCCCCCCCCCCTGCTCCATGCATGAATTTCATGCACTGGGCCTTTAAGAAATGAAGGGAGAAGGCAAGCTTTTGGCTTTATTAAAGGATTTAAAGCAGCATTAGGTGGTAGGGGAGAAATAAAAGATGTGACCCAAGGTGCCTATTCTGAGTTTATCAGCAAGAGAATTTCATATGAACCAGGGTCAGGACAATGTATTGAGATGGAACCTTGAAGCTGGTTAGCTTATCACAAGATAGAGGGCTGGAGACGAGACAGTATTTCCTGCTCACACTTGGTCTGCTGAGAAATTCCATCCTTTGCTGTAAGGGTAGAGGGGATTCTGGGTGCCAAGGAAATGGCAGATGATAAAGGGTTATGTGACCTTCAGGGAGCCTCTTCCAGGCCACATGGATCCCCTTTGTATTTCTGGGCCCATCTTGGTGCCAAGTGGAATTGTTAACCAGAAGCCTCAGACCAACTGGATCCAAGTACATTAGGATAAAGAAGTCAGGAATGCCTAAGTTTGAGCATCAGATTGCTATGGAGGAATGAGAGTTCCTGTGTTTAATATATTTTTATTGATTTTAGAGAGAAAGTGAGAGGGTGAGAGAAAAACATCAGTGATGAGAGAAAATCATTGACTGCCTCCTGCATGCCCCCAATTTGGGATTGAGCCTGCAACCTGGGCATGTGCTCTGACTGGGAATCGAACTGTGACCTCCTGGTTCATAGGTGGGTGCTCAACCACTGAGCCATACAGGTTGTGCAAGCCTTCCTTTATACAAATCTCTGAGCTGTCCATTTTCTCCCTTTGGGAGGGGGAGAAAAGTACTAACTTAGAGGCCATGTCCTTCCTCTTTGCAGGTCTCCTGATAACAGGAGCCTTATTGCTTCTCCTGTATTTCTCACATGCAAAAATAAGCCATTTCTCCAAGCACAGAATTCTCATACTGTACCTCTGAGGACTCTCTGGTTTGTGGGTCAAAACTGTCATTAAAAATGTAATATATCACACCCATTATTTCTCATGGTCTCCTTTTTAGCCCTGTTCTTCCTACATCTCTCAATTTTCTCATTAATACTGTCAAAACAAACTGCTTTCCCTTCTAGGACTATAACACCTCCTCTGTCAGGATTTGCTGTGAAGTGAGAAAGGGAAGAATTCACTTACCTGCATAATATTAGGTTTTGCCCCACATCATGTACCAAATAAAACCTCATTTATACTTTCCCTGTTTTGAGGACCCAGTCTCTCAGCTTTTTTTGTGAAGGGGTTATTACAATTTTTTATTTTTTACAGAGAAGTAGGGAGAGGGATAGAGAGAGAAACATCGATGAGAAATACCAATCAGCTGCCTTCTGCACACCCCCACTGGGGATGTGCCTGCACAAGCCCTTGACCAGAATCGAACCCGGGACCCTTCAGTCCGCAGGCCAACACTATCCATTGAGCCAAACTGGTTTTGGCTAAAATATTTAAAAAAATACAAGAAAGCCTTTTAAATATGTTCTCCTTATATGCCTTAAAATATCATCTTACAGCTTTTCTCTCCTGATTGGGTAAAGAAATTGCACATTTTTTTTTTGGCTTATTTTCATCTCTCCTTTGGACTTGCTATTACTCTTTAGGGCCCTAGGAAGGAGAATTCAACATACTTTAGCCATCAGCCAAGGATAACTATTTAAAATCAATTAAAATTAAACATAATTGAAAATTCAGTTCCTGAGTTGCACTAGCTACATTTCAGAGCTCAAGTCATATGTAGCTAGTGGTACCTGCTGTATTGGATGGTACAGATTTAGAACACATCCATCAGTGTAGAAAGCCCTATTAGATCTAGTATAGGACTAGTAATCCTGCCTCACCCTCTTTGTAATTCTATATAATAAAAAGCTAATATGCAAATGGTTGTTATGCCATCATAGCTCAGACACTCAACACTGGGGAGAGAGGAATGGGGACCAGCCAGGCGCAAATGCACTCGTAAGGAATGGGCCCAGCTAAAGAGGGACAAGTTGTCTGCCCTGCAATTCTGGGTGCCAGCATCTGTGGCTTTGGCCCAGGGGAGGGACAAGCTGCCCATTCTGCACTCCCAGGTGCCTGTGACGGTGGCCCAGGCAAAGCTGCCTTCCCATAGTCCCCTGCTGCTGCAGCCAGCTTGGGTGAAGCCAGCCTGAGTCCTGTGTGCCTGCAGCTGGCCAGAGGGAGGGAATACTGGGTGCGTGGTGAGGCAGAGGCAGTTAGGGGCGATCAGGCCAGCAGGGGAGCAGTTAGAGCCTATTAGGCAGGCAGGCAGCAGAGGAGGTTAGGGCTGATCAGGCAAGCAGAGGTGGTTAGGGGTGATCAGGCAGGCAGGTAGGTGAGTGATTAGGAGCCAGCGGTCTTGGATTGTGGGTCCTGGATTTGGAGACCATGCAGGCCGGGTTGAGGGATAGCCCTTTTCTGTGCCCCCAACCCATGCATGAATTTGGTCACTGGGCCTCTAGTCTTATTTTATTAGTCAATACATGTTTGTAATAACTTCACTGTTATAACTTTCAGAGAGGGGTCAGGGATTGGGGTGGGAAATAGCAAGGAAATTATAAGTCCTATAAAAGTTTCAAGAGGCATGGCATAGTGGCCAGAGGTTGATGGCCAATGGCAGGGGAGTCTTAGCTTTTTTTTTTTTTTTTTTTTTAAATATGTTTTATTGATTTTTTTACAGAGAGGAAGGAAAAGAGGAATAGAAAGCCAGAAAACTGATTGATGATTCTCTCTCATTGATGTTTCTTATATATATATATATATATATATATATATATATATATATATATATATTATTGAATTTGTACAGAGAGGAAGGGAGAGAGATAGTTAGAAACATCGATGAGAAAGATCGATCAGCTGCCTCCTGCACAGCCCCCACTAGGGATGTATCCGCAACCAATGTACATGCCCTTGACCGGAATCGAACCCGGGACCCTTCAGTCCCTAAGCTGATGCTCTATCCACTGAGCCAAACCGGTTTCAGCAGTCTTAGCTTTTAAAAAAATATATTTTATTGATTTTTTTACAGAGGGAGATAGATTAGAAACATCGAGAGAGAGAAACATCGATCAGCTGCCTCCTGCACACTCCCTTACTGGGTATGTGCCCGCAAGCAAGGTACATGCCTTTGATTGGAATTGAATCTGGGATCCTTGAGTCTGCAGGCCGATGCTCTATCCACTGAGCCAATCCAGTTAGGATGGAGTCTTAGCTTTTAAGGAAGTACTTAAGGGGCTGATATTCATATGTACCAATGCAGGGCCACCCACACTCTGTAAGAGTAGACAGTCTCTGATTTCCTGTATTAGTTTTGCATAATACTTAAACAAAAGACTGCCCTTGTGGCCTTGCTGAAACAGTAAATAAAGTGATTTTGCTTTTTACTAATCATTTCTAGATCTTGATTTCATATATTGCTCTGTCACTGTCCTGTTCTCCCAAATGTCAGTGACATAGGCAGCACTAATGTTTATAAAAGGCTTGCTGACTCTGCCATCTGCATGCCACGAGCTGGGAGAAGTCTGGGTCCTATCAATTAACCTACTAATGTTAAGACTACATTTAGTAAGGGTCCAGCTAGGTAAGGCTAATCTTCTATGCCAGGCACTGGCTATAGGGCCTGAGTGAGGCTAGTCTGTGGATATAACCAGTTTCCCTGCATCTACAACAGTAGTTATCAATTAAGGATGACTGTGTAGCCTTCCTCCCCTGACATCTCATTCTGCAGTGTCTGAGACATCTGTTGTCACAACTGATGTAGTGGTGCTACTTACATACGTCCAGAGATTCTTAAGTATCCTACAATGCACAATCCTCTCCCCACCACCAAAAAATT